CGCCGCTCCCCTCCCAGCTTCCTATGGCAATAAATAGATGACACAAATAAAAACTGCCTCAGCCAGAGTTAGCAGCTACATCGGACAGTTCTTGTTTTGTTTTTGTGTTGTCTTTTTATTTTATTTATTTTTTAAAAAAATATATATATTTTATTGATTTTTCGCAGAGAGGAAGGGAGAGAGATAGAGAGCTACAATAGAAACGTCGATGAGAAACATCGACTAGCTGCCTCTTGCACACCCCCTACCGGGGATGTGCCCGCAACCAACGTACATGCCCCTGACCGGAATCGAACCTGGGACCTTTCAGTCCGCAGACCTACGCTCTACCGCTGAGCCACACCGGTTTCCGCTTGTGTTGTCTTTTTAATATACTTTTGATTTCAGAGAGAAAGGGAGAGGGAGAGATGGAAACATCCATGATGACAGAAAATCATGGACCGGCTGCCTTCTGCACACCCCACACTGGATATCGAGCCCACAACCCGGGCAGGTGCCTGACCGGGCACAGAAGCAGCGACCTCTCTGTGACACAGGGGACAATGCCCTAACCACTGCGCCCCGCGGGCAGAGCAGAGCAATTCCGTTACTTCCTCCTGGGCAACTGGGGTGGATGCACGAACCCCTGGCCCGGGCCGCCCCACCCGGGCACCCCTGACACCCGCGCTTCTGCACACACAGCGCCACGGCGGGGCGGGGGCGGGGCACCTGGCTCCTACCGGTACCTAGCTCTGCCCGGCCCCGCCCCCCTGCGTCACGCTGGTTCCGGTCCGGGTGCGCGCTCCCGCTCTGCACGCGGGGACCGGGACCCAGCCCGGGGCACCGCGCCGTCCCCAAGGAAGCCGCGCACTTTGTGGCGAAGGTGAAAGCCGGGTTGGGAACTTCCGGGGAGCCCGGGGTCCGCTGTCAGAAGCACCAAGGATTGCGGCGCAGCTGGGGTGTAGGGGCCCCGGGACGCCCTGCCCTCCGGCCTCCGTCCGCCCCGGGCTCCGGGAAGTGCGGAACCGGAAACGGTCCGGGGCAGTATCCGGCCCGGGCCCCCTGCGCAGGCGCAGTGCGGTGCGCCCAGGAAGGCGGCCCAGACCCACTGCGCCGGCGCGGAGCGGTGCATTTCGGGACGTGTAGTTTTCCCGCGCCGCATGTGGCAGTCCTGGTTTGCAAGCTCACGGGGCGCAGCGGCTCCGCAACCTCAGCTGTAAGTCATGGCCTCTCAGTAAGCGGTCCTGACCGGAAGTCCGAGGGCCCTTTGGGGCTTGGGGTGTCCGCGGCAGACCCCGCGTTGGCGCTTTCTCCAGGATGCCCGCCTATCGGGGACCGGAGGGGCATGGCCCTCACCCGCCCGCCTGTCCGGGGCGCGGGTGCAGGCTGGCCCGTGGCCCGGGGGGTCCGGGGTCCGGGGTCCGGGGTTGGTGCTGGCCGGAGGGTGTTGGTGTTGGTGTCGGGGGCTTGGGGACAGTGAATATCCGGAACCCAGTTCAGTGGGAGGGTCGGGGTGTGAGGGGGCAGGTGTTGCCCCCTAAGTTTGGGGTCGGAGAGGACCCTGGCCGGTGGCCGAGGAGCTGAGGCCCAGGCCTCTGGCCAGGGGACCCGGCTCACCCAGGTCGGCCAAGGGACACACCTCCTCCAGGTGAGAGGGTGAGGGGCTGCGTGGAGGGGGCCTGGGAGGGGGCAGCTTCGGGGAGTTGGGACCAAGGACACAGCCGGCCAGAGTTCAGACCCCAAGAGCGGGGACCGCCCGGGAGTTCCAGGGGTGCCGAGAAGGCGTCCATGGCGGACAGTGCGTGTCCATGTTGCTTCCAGTGGCCTAACCGAAGGCAGCGAGCAGCTGTTCTGTTTATCGAGAAATCTGGCAAAAGAAAAAGTATATTTTTGCAGTAAAGGAAATAGAACTATTTATCTCAAAGCCATTATTTGTTAAAATACTGTTATTGATTTTGTTTTTTTTTAGAGAGAGAGGAAGGGAGAGGGAGAGGGAGAGACATCGATGAGAGAATCCATCCCTCAGCTGCCTCCTGCACGCCCCCCACTGGGGATGTAGACAGGATGGAACCAGGGACCCCGCGCCAATGCTCTATCCATTGAGCCACACTGGTTAGGGCTATTTTTCAGTTTTAAGCTCGGACTGAATAGTTCCTGGGGTTAAAGTGCCCACACCGCTTAGGCTGGCTTCAGCCTCAGAGCTGTCCCGGCTCAGTGTTTGCGGAAGACAGCTGCCTCGTGTCTAATTTCGCACCAGGTGTTTATAGGAGCAGAGCACAGGCCCGGGTATTTTTGGCCTCTTCGGCTTTCATCGCTTAAGTCCTGCTGAGGCCTGCAGAGGGGGATCATGTCACTGAGGGAGATGGGGCACCCCCCTTCCCCCCCCCCCCCCCCCCCCGCCCCCCGCAGTGTGGATGGAGGCAGGGGGTGAGAGGAGCCACTCTGATCTGCCTCTCCTCCCGCCCTCACCGCACCCCAGCACTGTGTGCAGGTGGGCTTTCTGTGTTTCTCTCCTGAAGAGCAAGGGGCATATCCCTCAGGCATGACGTCGAGGCCGATGCCAGTATATTTTTACTGTCTGACTCCGGGATGTCAGCAAGAACGGTGGCTCCCGAATTCCAGATGTTCTTTGGATTCTGTTTTTTGTTTTGTTTTTTAGAAAATATATTTTTATTCATTGAGAGAGAGAGAGAGAGAGAGAGAGAGAGAGAGAGAGATGGAAACATCAATGATGAGAGAATTATCGCTCTGCCTCTTGTACGCCCTCTACTGGGAATCGAATCCACAACCTGGGCATGTGCCCTTGACTGGACTCAAACCCAGGACCCTTCTGTCTGCAGGCGATGCTCTATCCACTGAGCCAAACCGGCTAGAGCTGCATTCTGATGTTTTAAAAAATGTATTTTATTGATTTTTTACAGAGAGGAAGGGAGAGGAATAGAGAGTTAGAAACATCAATGAAAGAGAAACACCAATCAGCTGCCTCCTGCACACACCTCACTGGGGATGTGTGCACAACCAGGGTACATGCTCTTGACCGGAATCGAACCTGGGACCTTCAGTCTGCAAGTTGACGCTCTATCCACTGAGCCACATCAGTTAGGGCTGGATTCTGACTTTTAAAATGAGGATACTTTGGCCCAAAGATGTTCTCAACCTGCCCCAGGTCACGTGCCCAGCCTTGGGTGCCACGGGGAATAGAGTCCGGACGCCGGCTCTCCTGGTGCTTGCGTGGTCTCTGTGCCAGGCGGCGGTCTTGTGTGGCTGCATTCCTCCCAGGACGGCCCTTGTGTGTGGCCTGCAGCGTGGCCTGGCCGTGAGCCGAGGAGCGGCGTTTATCTAACCATCGTGTACACTGGTGTAGTACTTCCGGGGCCGGTGGAGCGCGGGTTCTAATCCGGTGTCCGAGGAGGATTTACAGGTGAGGGAGGCGAGGCTGAGGGGCAGGTGGGCGGAGGCCACACCACCAGGAAGCGCACTAGTGCCCCGGATCTTCCAGGAACACTGGTCCTTTGTGGAGTGTTGTTTCGTTACAACTTGATGAGATGTAGGAACTTAACTCTTGTTTACGTCACTTAGCCTCCTGTGAAATGGGTTCCACTGCTGTCATTTCGCTTAAAGTCGCAGAGCCAATGGCCTGTTGTGTGGGAGGCCTGGTATTTGCCAGACAACAGGGTGTTCTTTATAATTATAAATATATTTATAATTATGAATATTTTGGACCTGTTTGTTGTCCTTGACCTTGGGAATCAAGGTAGGTAATGGGGAACGGCCCGACTCGCCTGCTATGTTTGTACACAGCTCAGAGGAGTGGTACAAGCACGGTGTACCCAGCCTTAAATAGTTTATTTTCACAACACGGCTAATCCCCGCGATCACTGGCGATTACGCCAAGTGGAAACTGGCCACACTTGAGCGCAGATCAGAACCTGCTGCCACTTAAAGACAAACAGGCCATTCACCGCGAAGGTCAGCGCACCTTCATCACAGGGAAACCGATGATGGTGTAAATTCCTAGCGTTGGCTTATCTGACTTTGAAAAAGTCAAACTTGGCTTTCCTGTGCCAGCTCCCAGCTTGTTTTCAAGATTCTGTGACCTTGAATAGTTGAGGTTCGGAATTTTTAGAGAGAGGAAGGGTGTGAGAGAGAAACACCCATCGGCTGCCTCCTACATGCCCCTTCCCCCGGGGATTGACAGAAACCCAGGATTGTGCCCGGACCAGTGTATAATACAACACCCAACCAAGTCACACTGGCCGGGGCTGAGCTTTTTAGATTTAGACTGGAGGCCTGGTGCCCAAACTTTGTGCACTTAGGGGTCAGGGGTCCTTCAGCCCGGCCTGTGCCCTCTTGCACTCGGGGAGCCCTCAGGGTGGGCCTAAACTGTCCGTCAGACATCCCCAAAGCGTCCTCAGTGCTGCTGCAGAGGCTCCACCACCTCCGCTGTGCTCACCAGCCATGAGCCCGGCTTCTGGCTGAGCAGCGCTCCCCACTGACCACCAGGGGGCAGCTCCTGCGTTGAACATCTGCCCCCTGGTGGTCAGTGCGCACCATAGCAACCTACTGTTTGGCTTATTTGCATATTGGCCTTTTATTACATAGGATGCTTTTGTACGTGAGAAAGTTTTCTGTGAAACATCTTCTCTGAGGTTTGTAGTGTCTCCATTCTGAAGGCCTGTGAGACCCTCTGCTGTCGCTCTTTGTTTTTGTTGAGAGTCTATTTAAGAAAAGCAAATGTGTGGTTTTGGGTGCAGAGCTCTCTGCCTACATCAGGGTAAGACTGTGGGGCCAGACTGAGGGTTGAATCCCAGTCCTCCTGCATGTGACCCTGGACGGGTTTCATAAACTCTGCCTCGGTCTCTGTAGACGTGAACTCCCCTCGAGGACTGGTGTGAAGACTGAGTGAGACGTCACTGCCGTGGGCCGGGCACCGCTGCGCGGAGCTGTACGTCTCCACGTTCCAGCAGCCGGAGGGCCCTGGGCCCAGCCAGCTGACACCCTGTCTTCCTTTGCAGATGGGACCGAGGCCCCAGGAGGGAAGTCGCCCAAGTGTGTAGTGTCTACATCCCGAGCGCAAGTCTTCTGGCTCTTTGGTATGTGTCACCGGCTCACAATAGTGACAGCGAGGCCTCAGAGCCACCCTGTGCTCCCCTGTCATGTCCTGCCCCCCTGCCCCGGGGCCCCTCACCGTAGGACGGCTTTCTTAGACCACGTTACCCATGTCATGTACTCCCGTCCCTCCAGGTAATCTTTAACAACCCAGATCCGCTTCATTAACTCTCAAAGCCTCTCCCCCACGAGCAGCTGGGGTTCCGGGCAGGAGTGGGTGGAGGAGCCGAGTTTGGACCTGGGCGTTCACGTCCCTGGTGAGTCCCTGGTGAGCGGAGCGGGAGCACCGTCCCCGTCGGAGCAGGAGGGCCCCCTGCTGGCGGCTGTGCTCCAGTTCCTGGCAGATCAGCCAGATCTTCTGCCCAACAAGCCGCACCGGTCCCGGCTCTGACCCAGGTCACTGCTCCCCGCCCCTGGGCTCCCCTCAGCTCGCTGGGGACACGGCCTCCGCCCTGCGGAGCACTCTGTGCTCATCGTGTGCCTCTCTCTCCATCAGAGACTCTCCCCGAGGTGCTGGGCCCTGGGTGCCCCGCTGACCTGTTCCTCTCTCCCCTCCAGCCCAGCAGCCTGAGCGCCCGCTCCTCCTCGCGTGCCGGCCGGGCCTGCGCCAGCCAGAAGTGACGGTCGCCCGGCTCTGTGCTGCCCAGGAGTGCCGCCACAGCTGGGCCAGCATGAACTGGCAGGTGAGCACGAGGGCTTGGGGCTTTTTCTCTCTCCCGACGGCAGAACTCCAGGGTGAGAAGACGGCGGCTCGGGCAGGAATCACGATGACAGTTCACAGTTGGCTCTAAGTTAAAATGGTTAACATCTGGCTCTCAGTTAACACGCGCGCGGTGTGCGCTGGCTCGACAGGTGCCGAAGGGGGTGGGCCTCCTTGGTGGGCCCCGCCCGGCCCAGATCCGCCCCATGTCTTGGAAAACCTTCAGTCAGCCACGTCTCCCGTCGGTCACACCACCCGTGCGCTTCCTTCACGGCGGATTGCGCTCTCAGGGAGCAGCTCCGTACGAAACCGTCCCCGACCGCACACTCTCCCGCCCTCATCTCTCCCTTGTGCTGCCACCCAGTGGGTCTCCTGCTCCAGCGGGGACTGGGAGATGCGGGGGGGGGGGGGGGGGGGGGGGGGGTCCCGGGTTCCAGGGGCACCGTCTCCTGTCGGTCACACCACCCGTGTCGTGTGGAAGTCGGTCGCCCACCGTGCCATCAGGCGCCGCTGCCTCTGGCTGGCGAGCAAACACGCCGGAGCCCAGGGGGCCTGGGTCGGTGCTGGGAGCAGGGGTTCATGGGCAGCGCAGAGGCGCCGGCTAGCTGGGCGGCCGTGGGAGAAGCGTGTGTCATGTGTGTGTCACATGTGTGCCACGTGTGCTGTGGAATCCTGACGCAGGCGGGGTTCGCTGGGGGTGGTCACGGGACGGCCACTGGAATGTATGTGATTGTGGGCACTTCCAAAAGTAGGAAGTCAAATAGAAATCATACATCGTCATACCATCCAGGGGTGCTATGACAATTTGTAGTATTTTTTCATGTAGATGTGATGTGTGTCTTTTAAACTTATGAGCTTGTATTTTCTCAGTTATACTCCTTGTTCGGAACATCCCTGGTTTCTGTTTCAAGGGGATCTGGGTCTGGGGGAGTACAGACCCTGCTTCCCGGCTTCCGGGCTGTGGGACTGGGGGCTTCAGGAGGCCGGGGGCTGGCCAGGGGCCCACGGTCTCAGAACCCTGAGCCTCAGACGAGGCGGGCAGGACTTGGGGCAGGGCCGCCCCTGTGCCAGCCAGGCCTGTTCACAGTGGCCGCCTCGCTCCCCCCCGCCCCGTCTGCACGTCTGGAGGGTTTGTAGAAATCAAAGGGAGGGGGTAACCCGTGAAACTCAGCGCCCAGAGGCAGGCAGCCCTGGCCCTTGACTGTAGCCCTGTGATGTCCTGACCCTGGCTGCCTGCTCTGCCCTCTTTCCTGGAACATCTGCCTCCTGCTGCCTCCCTGAAACCTCTGAGGAGAGTTAAACGGACCCGCTTCCACCATCTGTTTGTGGGGGTTCCGTTTCAGCGGGTTTCCTGGCTCTGCCTGCCGTCTGATACCTGCCAGAGCAGGGCCTGGGGCCGTGGCTGGGACTGGGAGGTGTCTGGAGCTGGGAAGTGACTGGGGCTGGGACTGGGCCGTGGCTGGGGCGTGACTGGGAGGTGGCTGGGACGTGGGCTCGGGTGCAGCAGGATGCAGGCTGGCAGAGGTTTCCAGAACTGGAGAGAGTGGCTTTCCCAGGAGCAGTGAGACTCAGCTGCCTGGAAATCCTAGCACATACAGGAGGCTTAGTTATGGCAGCAAACTGGCTTTTTCCTCCAAGGATAAGGTGACCAGATGTCCCACTTTTGGCAGGACAGTCCCAATTTTTAACCATTTGTCCCTCGTCCCGCGGCGTTTTAAAAAATTCCCGATTAAGTGGGCTTTTTGGTCACCTTTTCCAAGGAGGAAGCATAAGGTCCTTTAATAGCTGGTTGAGAGCGCCCAGCTGGGCCTCGTCTGTAAGGTGGGCCCGCAGGAGGCTGCAGGGGGGGGAGGCGGGGAGCTGCGGGCCAGGGAGGACGGGACCAGCCGCGTGTGAACAGGTGTGGGTGCAGCTTTGTGTGAACGGGTGTGTGCGCAGCCGCGTGTGAACAGGTGTGTGTGCAGCTGAGTGTGAACGGGTGTGTACACAGCCACGTGTGAACGGGTGTGTGTGCAGCTGATTGTGAACGGGTGTGTGCACAGCCACGTGTGAACGGGGGTGTGTGCAGCTGATTGTGAACGGGTGTGTGTGCAGCTGCACTGAATGGCGTGCAGGGTGTCCTTCCTTTTGTATTTGCTTTGCCTTCTGTGCAGTGCTCATGGTGGGAACCAGAGGAAGTGGGGACGGAGCTGGAGAATCTAGGGGGACGGGCGGCGAGGCAGACGCTCAGAACAGCCGGTGCCATGTAGAGTGGGCAGCCTGGGCACGGCATTGCAGGGCCGGTTGTGAGCCGGGGTCCTGCGGCCGGCATCCCGGCGGCCGGCTGGGAGGGCGGTCTGGGCTGGATGCCGGCGGCGTGGGGGCAGGGCGGGCGTCGGGCGTCGCCCACAGGAAGCGTCTGACGCCGCGCACACTCAGAACGCTGCTTGCTCCCCAGGTTCTCGACCACGTGCCACTGCTGCTGTACATCCTGGCAGCGAAGACGCTGATTCTCTGCCTGGCTTTTGCCGGAGCCAAGATTTACCAAAGGAAGAGGCTGGAGGCCCGGGAGCGGCAGCTGGAGGCGGAGAAGTCGGGGAAGAAGGAGCGCTAGCGGGAGCGCCGGTACACGCTTGGGGGGAGGTGCGGGCGGGCCGGGGTGCCCTGACCTCCGCCTGTGCCGATGGGCTGGAGCTCGGGCTGGCCCTCGCCCGGCCGGTGGCGCTCCCTCCTGAGGGCCAGGTGCCCGGGGCTGGGGAATTGCTGAAAGCTGCGCCTTCTCCCGGGGGAAGCGCCTCTGAGCTCCCGCAGGTGTGCAGAGTGCGAGGGGATGGGAGGAGGCGGTCACAGGCCGGAAGCCGCCTGCGCCTCAGGCCCGGCTGGGGGTCTGCCGGGTGAAGGGGGCGTCACGGTCCTCACCAGCTCCCCTCGCCCCGCTCTGCCCGCTCCGCAGCTCGGACCCGGTCCTCGGAGCCGCCGGCCCGGCCACAGCAGCTCCTGTGCGGCAGCTGAGAGATGCTCCGTCGCTGGACTCCAGAGCCGGCCGGTGCGGGAAGAGGGAGCGCGGCCAACCGACAGGTGAGGGGCCGCCCGCACCCAGCGTGGGCTGGGCTTTGGGGGGACTGAGAAGGGGGTCACACACACCCCTCCCTCCCTCCAACGCCAAGGCTCGGGGGGCGGCTGACGGCTGGGTTGGGGCTGGGGGTTGGGGAGAAAGAAAACTGAACCTAAGTACGGGGAGCCTTTTCTGAGGAATGAAGAAAAGAAGTACGGTTATGAGAAGGTGTCTGAGTCAGGCGGCTGCGCTGAGCGAGTGGGGCGTCCGCCCTGCCGACCCAATGGCTCCCCCTGACCCCGGTCCCTTCCCCAGGCCCCGCCCGCACGGCGCCCACCACCCGCCACGTGGAGAGTGGACTCCCCGAGGAGAAGCCGGGGGAATGCGGAGGGTGATCCCAGCCCGGCTGAGCTTCCGGTGATGGCTGCGGGCAGCGGCTCTGAGAGCCCGCGTTTTCTCCAGTAAAGCAAACGCCTGGCAGCGTCTGGTCTCTGGCCTCTGGCCTCTGGGATAGGCCTGTGTGGCGTCACGTGTGTGTGTGTGTGTGTGTGTGTCTCTCTCTCTCACATACACCCCCCACTGTGCTGTGAGACAGGGAGTTCTGCAAACCCACAGCTGCTGTCGCGCCCCCCCACCCCCCCGGGGCTGGGTTGTACAAGTGGCCACGCTGTGGGGAGAATGCCCCCCTGCACACCCTCGCCCTCTGAGCTGCTGCCCTTCCACCCTGTTTTCTCTTCCCAGGAACTCGGCCTCTCGTGCTTTCATGGGGGGGGAGGTAGGGGGGTGGCATGGCGTGGACAGTGGAGTGAAGGAGACCGGACCAAGTCTGAGACAGGAGGAGGAATGGGTCCCTGGGTTCCTGGTGCCCCTTCGTGGGGGTCGGGGGTGGGTGAGGGCGGGGCTCCTTCCATTCCGTGTGGAGCTCTGTGGTCGGGTCTCCAGTCCTCAGCCTGGCCCAGCACCAGGTGGAGGGCGCTCATGTGCTCCCTGCCCTGCCACGTGCGGGCTTGCCTGGCTGCAGAAGGTCACGCGTGTAACACGGGTTGTTTGTAAGACAGTGAGACGGGAGGGGAGCATGCCTGGGTGGCAGCCCCTGCCTGACTGGCCGGCTGGCTCCACCCACCAGGGAGCCCGGACCTCGGGGCAAGGCCAGCGCGGCGGCCGCCAGCCAGCACTGCCGTCCCTGCGGTTGCGCCGGCCACGGGAGGCCATGGGGTGCGGTGGGTGGGGATGCCCGGGGCCCGTCCCACCTCAGAGGACATGTGGGGTCGCTGTCACCGTCGCCCACGGTTTCCGCTGCTCTGCGAGGAACGGGCTGTGCCCGCCATCTCCCCGCCCCCGGCCAGGTGAACTCCCCCCTAACTTTCTCCCCGGTCCCGGGCAGAGCTGTGCCCTCTGCTCATGCGTCTGAAAGCGGGTCTGGTTGTGTGGGGCCTGGGAAGGTGTCCCTGAAGACAGACAGGAAGTGAGGTCCCGGCTCGGTCTGAACAAGGACTCTGAGCCCAGACCCGACGGCAGGGGCACCGCGCAGAGGCCGGCTCCCTGGGTGGCGGGTGCCAGCGTTTCAGGGCCCTCCTCCCCCCCAGGGCCTCGGGGAGCCAAGGAGCTCGCCCACAGCCTCCTCGTTAACGGGCTGAAGCCGAGATGGTCCCTCTGACCCGGGCCCTCGCGCCTGGGGGTCCCGCAGGCGGCACCGTGTGCCCTGGGTCTGCCGCAGCTGCCTGTTTTCCCCCCTGCGGCTCACGTGGCGGGAGGCTCACCTGACCTCAAACCCACAGCTGGCAGAGCTGCCGCCACAAAAACCGGTGTGGACACGCCAGCGGGAGGCGGCCCTACAGCCGGGCCCGCGGTGGGGGAAGGCAGGCTCCAGGTCCCGCTGAGCGGGGGCGCCAGCAGGAACTGCTTCTGTTTGAAAAGCAGAACCACCCAGCCTGGAGCTCGGGTGCCGCTCCTCGGCCTGGTGTGATGTGCACGGCGGGGGCCCCGGGCAGAGGACACGCGTGGGGATGTGAGCATGCCTGGCTCCGAGGGCGTTTGGGGCCAGACACGGTGGGCTCACCCCTTCGCTTCAGCTTCCGGGGCCGGCACACGCGGCTCCTGTGTCAGACCCACGCGTGGGCACCGTCCTGAGCCGTGTCCGCCTCGCTCACCGCCAGGCCCTGAGCTGGGCTGCCCAGGCCGCCCGGCAGGGCCTCTGCGTCACCGACAGGAGACCTGACCCTCATCTCCCGGGAAGCTTTACTGAGCCGGCTCTTCTCCCACCCCTGGAGCCGGCTCCTCGCCCACCCCCGGAGCCGCGGTCCTCGGCGTCCTCGTGGTCGCCGTGGGGTGCCGGTGGCGGCGTTGGGGGCGCCGTGGCCCGGACGGCTGGCCCGGTCCTAGGAGAACTTGCCCAGGTAGTAGTTCTCCCACCGCCGCACCTTGTTGATGAGCGTCCTCCACTTGCCGGGGCCCAGCCTCTCCACGCCTTTGCCGATGAGCTCGCTGAGCAGGATGAACTGGTAGGCGTAGAGGCTGTCGACGGACTGCAGGCAGAACTCCTTGCGGTTGTTGATGATGAACCACTTGAGCGAAGACCAGGCCAGGTCCAGCGGGTTCAGGTAGTTGTAGGGGGAGGGCAGGCAGAGCAGCTCGTGGCCGCAGGCCTTGGCCACGTCGGGGCAGCAGGCGATGCTGGTCAGGTTGACAACGGCAGGGGCGCGGGCCTGGGCAGGGGGCGCCCCGTCCCCGGGGGGCGGGGCCTCCAGCCGTGGGACGTCCTTGACCACGATGGCGCACTTCCCGTAGGCCTTCCTCGCCGCCTCGCAGAACTCGGCGAAGAAGCCGTCCTCGGGGCACACGCTCAGCTCGTCCCTCAGGTACACGCGGTACCGCCAGGGCACCCAGCCCTGGCTGCCCCCCGCGTGCACCACGCACCAGCTGGGGCTGGGCACGCCGAGCCCGCCCCCCAGGTCCTCCCCTGTGGCCAGGCTCTCGGGGATCTCCGTTTCCCCCAGGTACACCGTCCTGAAGCCGTCAAACTGCAGCCGCCGCAGCGTCTGCAGGTACTGGAGGCACTGCTTCCTCTTGGCGCCGTCCAGCGGGCTCCGGAGGACGATGTTCCGGAAGAGCCGGCTCGCGCCGTGCGGCATGGCGGCCCGAGCGGGGCCCGCCGTCTCCGTCTCCGTCTGCGGCCCTGCCCGGGCGGCGCTGACCTCACAGAGAACTCCCCATGGACACCCCGGGCGCTGACCTCACAGAGGCCTCCATGGACACCCCGGGTGCTGACCTCACAGAGAACTCCCCATGGACACCCCGGGCGCTGACCTCACAGAGGCCTCCATGGACACCCCGGGTGCTGACCTCACAGGAGCCTTCTCACTGCGGGGCCTCCCACAGACACCCCAGGGTGCTGACCTCACAGGGGCCTTCTCACTGCGGGGCCTCCCACAGACACCCCAGGGTGCTGACCTCACAGGGGCCTTCTCACTGCGGGGCCTCCCACAGACACACTTGGGTGTGAGCATCCTGGGACACGTCCAGAGCAGCTCCCTCTGGCTTACACGATGCAGGAAAGGGACGTGTCGCCCACGGAAGGTGTGTCTGACGCGGCTCCTGCCGTAGTCGGGGCGGAGGGGGCGGGGTTAGTGCCAGGGCTGCCGTGGCTCGGTGCTGCCGGCGGCTTGGCTCAGACAGGCGTGCGCTCTCCCACAGTCCGGCCGGGGGAGGCCCGGGTCAGGGTGCTGGGGGTCTGGTGTCTCCGCCGCCGCTCTGTGGCCAGTACATGGTGCCTCCTCCCCGGCCCCCGGGTCTCCCCTCTGCCGGGAGCGCATGTTCCGTCCTGACGTCCTCCCCAGAGAAGGGCCTGCCGGCCTGGAGGGGACGCTGGCATCCCCGAGCTGAGAGGAGCCGACAGGGACGCGGGGCCGGGCCAGCAGCCGCCCTGCAGAGCCGGTGCCGAGGCCTGGCCAGCGCCCGGGCGGAGCGGGGTGGCCTGCGTGGCCGCTGCGTGGGGCCTGGACAGAAGCACACCATTGCATGGAGGCCAGGACCTCTGGTTCCTGCCGGACCCTGCCTCCTGGGGTAGAGCCAGCCTCCTCAGCCACCTCCCACCTCAGAGTGGAGGTGAGGAAGGACCCTCGGGCAGCGTGGCCATGTCCACCCAGCTCCCCCCCTGGCCCAGCCAGAGCTCTGCCAGCCCAGAGGCGCCCCTCCCGGGAGGACCTCTCTCCGCCTGCTTTCCTGGGCACGCTCTGCCCTGCCTCCTCCCCCGCCGCCCAGTGACCTGTTCTCCAGGGACTGGCTGCTCCTTCATCCCAAGAAGCAGCGTGACGGAACCCTCCTCAGCGAGTGTGGCTGCGGGTCTGCCGGGCGGGTATTTGTGAACTGGTGGTCCCGCCCCCACCCCAATAAAACGGAAGCGTTGCCACACATGCGTGGCGTATGTGCGTTCCAGTTTGGTCTTACCCCGCAGGCCCAGTTGGGTGGGAAACATCCCAGTTACTTATTTAAGCCTCACACTGGGCTCCATTGGGGCTCCTGACCCCACGATGGCAGCCCCCGCCCCCCTGGCCATGGTGAGCGCAGCTCCAATCCTCTGGCCCCGTCCCCCAGGCACTGGCCTCCTGCCGGGACTCAGGAAGTCCAGGGGGCAGACTCAGGCCTGGCAGTGGCCTGGCAGGGGAGCAGAGGTGTTTGTGGGAGGGTCACGCAAACTTGGGAATCCGGTAGACCAAGCTCTGACCTTCCCGCCAGCTGTGTGGCAGGTGCAGCAGAGCCCCGCCAGCCCAGAAGGCACCCTCCTCCCCAGGGAGGACTCCTCTCCGCCGGCTGTCCTGGGGCACGCTCTCCGGGCCTCGTTCCTTAACACCACCCCACGGCCTGGCCTTGGAGGTGTTCGTACGTGTTTGCTTTCTGCCCGTGGCACCATCACGGGCGCCTGGTTGCCCACCCGCCTCCAGGCCCCTTCCCACAGCGCCGTGGTCTGGTGCAGGGTGGGTGTGGTGCGGTGCAGGTGGGCCTGCCTGCCAGGCGCTCAGGTCCTTACTCGGAATAGGCCACACTCACCTGCCTGTGGCAGAAGCAGCCCGGATGGACCTCAGGACTCCCGCGTGGCCTTCCAGGGTCTCAGGCCGCAAGGGGGCCAGACGTCCTCCCCTGCGCCTCTCTCCGGGGCAGAGCTGTCCTCTGTCCTCCCCACAAAGCCTCACCCACCCTTGTCAGACACATCCACCGGCGGGAGCACAGCCTGGATGCCCATTGGGCCCCACTGACTTGCTTTTGCTGATTAAACTTCCTAATATAATTCCAGCACCATCAGCATCAACCACCACATCTACATCAACCTCCCACCACCATTAGCATCAACCATCACCACCACCGCTCAGCATCAGCCACCAGTATCACCACCATCTACATCAACCTCTTCTACACCATCAGTATCAACCATCACTACCATCACCACAACCACTCAGGGTCCACAACCACTCAGGGTTAGCCACCAGCACCACCACCACCATCTACTTCAACCTCCCACCACCATCAGCATCAACCATCACCACTCTGCATCAGCCACCAGCACCACCACCGTCTACATCTACCTCCCAACACCATCAGTATCAACCATCACCATCACTCAGCATCAACCATCACCACCACCATCAGTATCAACCCTCACCACCAGCACCATCTACATCAACCTCCCCACCACCATCAGTATCAACCATCACCACCACCACTCAGCATCAGCCACCAGCACCACCACCATTTACATTAATCTCCCCACCACCATCAGCATCAACCATCACCACCAGCACCACCACCATCTACATCAACCTCCCCAACACCATCAGCATCAACCATCACCATCACTCAGCATCAGCCACCAGCACCACCACCGCCATCTACATCAACCTCCCCACCACCATCAGCAGCAACCATCAGCACCACCACCACCATCTACATCAACCTCACCACCATCAGCATCAACTGTCACTACCATCACCACCACCACCAGCAGCCATCAGCACCACCACCACCAGCCACCTTAACATCCCTACCACCGCCAACACCAGTATCAGCTATAATCACCACAAACACCAACAACACAAGGCTTATAATGATGTATTTATTTTACTTTTCAAAATATATTCGCATACATGATCCCATTAGCTCTTACGCACTCTGTAAGGTTTGAAGAACTGGCGCCATCACCCTCATTTTATCTGTAACGAAACTAAGGTCCACACCAAAGCGGTGGGTCAGGGAACGTATATATTTCATGGACACATACATCAACGAAATCGAAGACCTTCCCACCAGCTTCTGTGTTAACTACTTTGGCTCTACATTCCGGCCGGGGGCTTCAGAAGGACTGACCCTTTGGGACCAGATATCCCAACCCCACGTGTCCCAGGTGAGCCCCCTGCCCCCAAAGTTCCTGTGGCCCCTAAAGCTGAGTTTCCTCCAGGGCTCCGGACGCCAGACTCAGCCTTCTCTCGGTGACAAAGGCCCCTCACGGGCCCAGGGGTCTCCCAGCTCCGAGGTCGTGGCTGCCCCGAGCCCTTCCTGGAACACACGCTTCTCTACTGACGGGACCCCGTGGCCGGGAGCTCCTGCCCCGAGGCCGAGAGGACACGGGATGCTGGCTCTGGTCAACGCCTTCCAGCCCTCCCTCCCCTCCACCCCCGCAGGCAGCTGGGCCTCTGTGGCAGCCTGGCTGCCCTGCCTTTGAGGGATGCCCTAGATCTCCGTGTGGGGCCCGCTGTCCCCGCGCCTGGGCCCTGGGCCGGCCTGGCGGGGCGGCAAAGCGGCCGCGTTGCCGATGGTCAGCGTGGAGCCGTGGGCTGCCCGGCTCCGGAGCCCTTTCTGTTTGAGCTCGGAGGTCAGGTTCAGGTAGTAAATGTCCTCCAGGGACTTGTCGCTCTTCCTGAGGATGTTGCTGGCCAGGCGGAAGAGGAAGACCACGGCGTAGATGCCGATGATGGTGAGGATGTACCAGGCGGCGCTGGTGCCGTCCGGGAGCCGCAGGGCCCGGGGGGCGCTGCTGCCGTTCCTGCCCTCCGCTGAGTCCTGCAGCAGGCGCGCCAGCGTGTGGTTGGGGGCTCCCTGGGCGGTCCACTCGGCCACTGAGAGACAGAGAGACAGACCCGGTGAGGCCAGCGTCCTGGGCCGAGGGCGGCCTGGCTGCAGGCCGGGGTGGGGCTGTGGACATCCCCACGGGAAGCCTGGGTCCACGGGAGAGCCCCTGTCCAATGATCAGGAGGCTGACCACTCGGCCCTGTGGTCGTCAAGGTCAAAGAGCTCAGAACGTCGCGTAGCTGGAGAGCAGACCAAACATCGTAAAGATGTCATTGTCCCTAACGTACCCACACAGCAGCACGCTGCAGCACAAACGCCAGGGGAATGGGGTTGGGAGTGGACACACACACACGAAACATGAGCTGCCGAGGCCGCCCGGGAAGATGGGAGACGGTGCTGGACGGGGATTGCCAGCTGGCAGGACAGCAATCTGCCTTTTCAGGAGAATGAACACTGCACCTGCCCACTGGGTTCTGGGCTGTGCAGGGGGTACAGGCACTAAAGGGCCAGGCCCAGGGCCCCCTGAACAGCCCCCCTAAACACACAGCAGCTGGCGGGCGGGAGGCTGGTGCTCAGGGAGACCAGTGGGCCGGAGGCAGCAGCGGGGTGTGTGGGTGACAAAAGGCCGTTCCTGCCCAGAGAGGGAAGGTGAACACTGGGGAGCCTGCAGCAGCGGGCCTGGGCCCACGTCACCCACGTCCTGTCCAGCCAGAGCCGGGAAGTCCAAGGTGACAGCGTGGGAAGAAGCCATGTAAAGCGCCAGAGAGAGGCAGGTGGATGGTCCCTGTACCCCTCCGAGCGGGACATCCCTTCTCAGCATCACCCAACGCAGAGGGGAAGAGAAAGCAGAGGTTAGATGCAGCTACAGAAACATCCTGTCTCTGCTTACTGTTAAACCAAGAGCAAGCGGCACATGAGAACATTTACAATTTATACGCCACTGATTCCTCTTCATAGCTTCCGGTTCTGGCAGAAAGAGTCCAAACTGACAGCAGAAAAAATATGCTGAGGATACAGACTATTAAGTTACAGAACATGCAAAAGGCTACTCACTGTTACTCATAACAGGAAAAATGCAATCCGAACTACAAAACAATAACGTTCTGTGACCCATCGGTTCGCAAATGCTCGGTTTCGGAATGCACTGTGGGCGTGTTTGCCGGCTGCCGGGAGTGGAATCGCACACCTCATCCACAGGAGGCGACAGCACAGCCACCTTGGACCCAGGCTCCACCTGTGGGGACGCATCCTGTGCCCCGGGGGGCTGGGCGGGAGCAGTGCGTGTGTGAGGCCGTCCCTGCGGCCCCTGGCGGCTGCCGCCACCAGCCTGAGCACCGCCTTCCCACGGTGAGGGCACTCTGGGACCTGATACAGTGGAGTACTACGCAGCCCCGAAAAGCAATCAGCATTTTTGGTACTGAAATATCCTATATAATAAAAGCCTAATATGCTAAGTGTCCATCATCCAGTCATCCGTTCAATCAAAGTGTAATATGCTAATGATATGCTAAGGCCATTCAACCGCTCGCTATGACATGCACTGACCACCAGGGGGAAGATGCTCAGCCTGGGAGGTTAGCTTGCTGCTCGGGTCTGGCCGATCGGGACTGAGCAAGATGGGCTGGACATGCCCTAGAGCCCTCCTGTGGTCCCTCCCTGGCTGGCCAAACTCCCGTCTCCCTCCCCGGCCCCGATCATGTACCAACGGGTGGGGTTCCTTGGCCTGGCCTGCACCCTATCAAATTCTGGGACCCCCTTAGGGGATGTTGGAGATCTGGTTTCAGCCTGATCCTGCAGGCCAGGCTGAGGGAGCCCATTGGTGCATGAATTTGTGCACTGGGCCTCTAATCAATAAAAAAGTAACCCAACTGTGACATAATGTGCGGTCATGCATGTAAATGAAGGGGGATATGTTATCTGCTTGAAGCTTTTACATAAGTATTTTTTAAATATAAATATATATGAAATAGAAATATATGTGAAATAGAAATATATTGATAGATATGAAATATAAATATACATAAAGTATGAATCTATCTATGAAATATAAATATAAATATGTGAAATACAGATATATATATGAAATATAGATATATATGAAATATATGTATGAAATATAAATATATATGAAATTATATGAAATATAAATGTATGAAATATAAATATGAAATATAGATACATACATGAAATGTAGATACATATGAAATATATGTATGAAGTATAAATGTATGTGAAATATAAACATCCCTGGGAGAATGGGCAGTCAGGACCGCGGTGCCCACAGGAGCACTGGGGGGGATGGGCTGCCGCCCCCGCCCCTGCCCCCGCCCCCTGGCTCTCTCGGTGCGAGTTTGTGCACAGAGAGGACGGAAAGCCCGGAGCCCAGCGGGCGCTGTCCGTGGTGCCGTGCCCTTGGGGAGCCGGTGCCCTTCAAGGCCGGAGATTGGCATCTAAACTGCTGTTTAACCCAAAACCGTTTTCGCTCTCGGAGCCGCGGGCAGGAAGGCCGGGCCGCAGTGAGGAGAGGGGGACACTGAGGCGCTCGGAGCTCTGCTGGGAGTCCGGGTCCCGCGCCCGTGGGCACAGGGAGTCAGACGGTCACGGTGAGCCGTGGCCGCTGCTGGGCCGAAGGCTCCAGAACTGCTTCGATGTTGTTGCTCATTCATTTCGCCGACGCAGAGTCAGAGAGGCGGGCACTTTTCACGGTGGTTAATTGTCAGATTGCGTGAATAACCTTAATACATGCACGTATGTATGTATGTACGTATGTGTTTTTTATCCCGTCACCTTTCATCCCCTCTGTGCTCTCTCCCCCTCCACCCCCTCCACCCCTGTAACCACCCACTAGTGTCCCTGCCCACGAATTCTCTCTCTCTTCTGTTTTGCTCAATCCCTTCACCACCCTTTCCCCCCCGGCTCTCCCTGGCAGCCTGCTCTCTCACAGAGTCTGTTTCTATTTTGCTTGGAGGTTCAGTTCATTAAATTCCCCGACCGGTGACCTGAGTGCTTTCAGGTGAAGGGAGAAGCCAGTTGATAAACTCTGCACCGGTGTGGCCGAGCCCAGGTGCACGGCTCTGAGCTGGTCCTCGTGAGAGACACCACCGCCCTCAGGAGCCGGCACGCCGCTGGCGGAGGCTGGAGACGGTATGCGAGGAGGGAAAATCCCACCGTTATTCTCCAAAGCAACTCCGCCCGCCCAGAACACCACACACGCAACCAGGGCAGAGGACTGGTTTGAACGTGCACTCCCAGGACGGCCTGCGAATTGTCGCCGGACGACGCCGTGTCCACACACACGTCCACACACCCACCTGGAGCCTGCAGGCATGAGCTCATGCGAACCCGGGCTGTTCCCCCGCGAACACAGCCCCCCTGGTCTCAGGGCAGCCGCTGTGCGTTACCTCCTCCCTCCTGACCACAGGCAGGTGAGCGGGGGCGTCTGTGCGTGAATATCCTGCCGGAGAGACAGACCGCCCGCCCGGACGCCCGCGCGTGTGCGGTGAGAGAGACGCCGGTGGCCCGGGCGGCATCGGGAGCACTCACCCTCCATGCGGCCGCCTCCGCGTGGGCGGTGAGGAGCCACGCTCTTCGGCGGCCGCCGGGCCCCTGCAGTCAGGCGTGGAGGTCCCCGGGCGGGAGGAACACCACCCCGAGAGGGCAGGGAGCACCAGCCAGACGCTGGCCAGCGGGAGCCGCTCGCCGCTCGCCGCTCGCTCCGTCAGCCACCGGCCTGAGGGCCCGGCTCCCGGCGGCAGGGACTGGAGGCGCTGCTCGCTCTGGCTCTTTGAGAAGGTCTGGAGGGAAGTGGCTGCAGGGACCCATGCCGGCCCCAGGGGTTGTCCGGCCCTCCCTCCCGCCCTCCGGCCGGGGCGGGCCTCTCTGCGCTGGCTCCCCGCAGGGCAGGGCCGGATGGCTCCCGCCCCCCGGTCTGCACCTGCCGCGGGCGTGGCGGGTCAGGTGTGTGGGGCTGTCACGGGGCCGTTCACCCACTTCCTCTGGGCTGTCCTGGCTCGGGACAGAGCCCCGCAGGGCTGGCAGCGGTGGGCCCGGGCCAGGCGGAGGGTGTCTGCCCCCCTCCCACGAGCCTGGTGACCCCTCACTGCCCCCCTTTGCCAGCCTGGTCACCTCCAACTGCCCCCCCCTGCAGGCCTGGTCACCCCAAACTGCCTACCACTGCGGGCCTGGTCACCTCTCACTGCCCCCCCTACGGGCCTGGTCTCCCCACAAAGCCTGCTGCTCAGTGGTTTGGTCACCCCTCGCTAACTCCCCTGCCAGCCTGGTCACCCCACTCAGCCTGTTTGGCTGTCTGTTCGGTTGCGATGGTCGCTCAGGCTTTTAGATAGATATTCAGAGAGGAAGGGAGAGGGAGAGAGAGAGAAGCACCAATGATGAGAGGGAATCATCGATCACCTGCCTCTTGCACGCCCCCCACTGGGGATGGAGCCCACAGCCCAGGCCTGTGCCCTGACCGGGAACTGAGCCGTGACCTCCAGGTTCATAGGTTGTTGCTCAACCACTGAGCCACACCAGCAGGGCTTAATGAATATATTCATTTTTATTCTCACCCAAGGTTTCCACTGATTTTTTTTAGAGAGAGGGGAAGGAAGGGAGAGGAGGGGGAGAGAGGGAAACATCAATGTGAGAGAGACATCAATTGGTTGCTTCCTGCTCATGCCCTGACCGGGGCCAGGGATCGAACCTGGGACCTTCAGTCCACAGGACAGCACTCTAACCACTGAGCAAACTGGCCAGACGGGGCGGGCTGCTGGCTTTTAAAGTGTAATTTTTGGAGGAGCGGAGGTACAGGCACCAAGAAGAACATGGCGGAGCTGAGGAACAGGCATCGAGCGGCCCTGGAGGAGGCCGCGGAAGCAAGGGCAGGAGCCGCGGGGGAGGAGGGGAGTGGGCAGGTGGGGCTGGAGGGAGGGAGAGTTCTCACTGAGTGTTCTTTAAGGAACGTTAACTGGGTGTGGGGTTTGCTATTCAATAGTAAGTGCGTCCACTCATTACATGTCAGTCTGTGTCAGTGCTGTCCAGGCTCCTGCTGCCTCCTGCCCGCAGGCAGGCCATGGCCTTGGCTCTGCCATGGACACAGGGATTCCCGGCCAGTGCGGGGAGAGGGCCAGGTCAGGCCTGGGGCGTGCAGGACGAACGGCCGGCCGTGCCCTCACCGTGTGCCCCTGGCGAGGCCCTGCCTCTGTGACCCCAGCTCCTCACCTGCGGGCGGGAGGCAGGGGCCCGCCCGGGTCCCAGGAAGCAGGAAGGAAGCGGCCGGGAGGCCTCCCCGTGGGGGTGTCTGCGTGGCGCGCTGCCAGCGCAGGCGCCCGGGGACAGGGAGGGCGCGGGCAGCTGGTGCCCACGGGAGGCTTCAGGCGTGAGTCACTGTGCCGTCCCCGGGAGGCGGCCAGCACGGCTCCGGAAACCGGGGGCCCGGGAGGTGGCCTTGGTCCCCCTGTTCAGGCCCGCGTGGCCCGGTGGTTAAATAGCAACCTGGGAGCCAGGAGGTCACGGCTCAGTTCCCGGTCAGGGCACAGGTCCAGGTTGCAGGCTCCATCCCAATGGGGAGCTGCAGGAGGCAGCTGATCAGTGATTCTCTCTCATCACTGATGTTTCTCTCTCTCCCTTCCTCTCTCTAAAATAAATAAATAAGATAAGAATTCCTTTGCAGCAAAAACAAAGGGTTATTAACAGACTCTAGAAGCAGATAAAGGACAAACTAGGGGAAATGGTTTGCAACACATGTGACAACATGACATGTTTCCTAACCCCTCAATGGCTTTAACACTGGGAAACGGCAGCTCCTGGGCAGAGAAACGGAAAAACTAGTGTTAACGCGAACAAACCATCGGAACCTGTAAATCTCTGTGAGGTTATTTGAGCCAAACGGTTGACATGTGCCGGGAAGCAGAACCTCAATGGGTTGAGATGATGCTCCGGAGAATGGCGGGTTACACCTGTATTTATACGCTGAAATCAAAGGAGGGACACAGGTGGGTGACATGAAATCCATCGGTGATGAGTAAGGAGGCGGGAGAAAGCCAAGGGGTGGGAAACCCCTGGGATTGGATAAAAAATGAAAAGACGGACACATACTCAGGTGGTGCAGGAACAAAGAACATGATAACGAAGGAATTTGTGGCGTCTGTCCTGGCGCCCACCACATGAGGCTGTGCCCCAGGGGCTCCGGAAAGAGGGAAATTACAAGTTACCCAGACATGTCAAGAGCGTGTTACCATAGATGCGCGAAGACAGACAGGCGCAGGTGAGGTAAAGATCCCGGCCTAGGAGGTGACTGCCACCATCACTGCTTTAGTTTAAGTTTAACTTCACCTGCATATAAGTACAACCAATGGACACAAAACTCTGGGGAGGGAGGGCATGTATGGTAAGATATGTACACAGATAATTTAATAAATAAATTTAAAAAGTTTAATGTCAGACCATCCCTGTGGTGACTGTAGGTCTGAGTTTGCAAGCAGGCCTCCCCTGAGCCGTTAGGCCAGCCCAGGGCCCCTTCTGTCCACCCCTGTCACAGGAAAGGAAGCACGAATGTGTTTAAAACATCAAAACACACTCCTCCTCCCGCACGGGGATCCCCACGCACACTCACTGACTCGGAGCACGCGTTTCCTGCTCGCTGACCGAGAGGCCGTCTGTGAAATGGTCTGCACGCCTGCGACACGGACAGTGTCAGCCCCCGGGGCCAGCTCTGTCGTTGTCATTAGGATACTGATGTTGGGAACCTGTCAGCACCGGCTCCTGCCCGCCGGTCACCCAGGCGTCCGGGGCCGTGTGTGCCAGCGTTCCTGGGACCCGTGCCGGCTGCCCTTGCCCCGGTGTAACCGGAAAGGCGGGGACCATCTCCGGGCCGGGGAGACGGGCCAGAGCAGCACGGAGACCGCTGTGGTCCTCTGCCCGCACTGAGAGGCGGAGGCGGCCTCTGCGTACCGGCGGGCCCACCTCCCACGCGCTGGTCAGCAGGGCAACCAAGCACGGCGCGGAGTGCTGTGCTGAGTACCTCATGTGTAAGAGCCGGGCACCCCTGTACACGCAGAGACCACCCCCGACAGGAGCCCAAGGCCCTCTCCTTCCTCGGAGCGGCGTCCCTGTGATAATCTGTTCTTCTCTTTGCCAGATCTGCTACCCCCGGAGAGGCAATCCAGTTTTTGTTAAAATATATTTTATTGATTTTTTTCAGAGAGGAAGGGAGAGGGATAGAGAGCTAGAAACATCAATGAGAGAGAAACATTGACCAGCTGCCTCCTGCACCCCCCCTCACTGGGGATGTGCCCACAACCAAGGTACATGCCCTTGACCGGAATCGAACCTGGGACCCTGCAGTCCACAGGCCGACGCTCTATCCACTGAGCCACAGCGGTTTTGGCAAGTCGTTTTTTGAGTTAGGAACTCAAAAGCAAGGAACCTTATCAGCTCTTGGCGAGGAATCGGCCGTGTGCGCGCTAGCGTGTTTGAAATCCTTGCTCCCCGGCCCTTTAAGTCCCATCCCCCAGAGCTGCCTCCCCCCCCTACACACACCTCACCCCTCAGCATCTTCTTGGAGGAGCTCATCCTGCTGCTGGAGAAACAGCCTGCGGACAGATGAGCTGTGAAGCTGCACCTGTGGCTGCCGGACTGAACACAACAATAACAGCCTCTCACCCTCCCAGGAGCCGGTCTGACAGCAGCACCCGGCTCTCCAGGGAGCCGCCCGAGGTTCTCCCGCTGCAGGGCTCCGAGGTCCCTGTGGATGCTCCGCCCCCTGGTGGCGAGGGGTCACCTCGCAGAGCTGCCCGGGGTTCCCTGATGTCCAGGCCGAGGGCTTCCAACAGAGGGCGCTGATGAGACAGCCATGCTATGTGATGGGGCCTCACCATGGTTAGCACCCGGATTTCACAGCCACACATACAAAAGCATTGGGGGGGGGGGGGGGGTCAGCTTGTAAAGCGCATAAATATGGGCCTAATGTCGTTTATTGATTTTTAAAAAATTCAGAATCTTTCTATACCTAACCAATAAAACTCCCGCTTAGACACAGGGGTGTGTTTATCAGCTGCCTGCCTGTCTGATGTTACAGCGTGTCTCTGTGTTTCTCAACGTATTTCCATACCCCTGCCCATACCCCTAATCCTAACCCTTAAACCTAACCCTAACCCTAATCCTAACCCTAATCCTATCCCTAAGACTAACCATAACCATAACCATAATCCTATACCTAACCCTAATCCTAACCATAACCCTAAACCTAACCCCATCTCTAACCCTATCTCTAACCCTAACCTTAATCCTAACCCTATCTCTAACCCAAACTCTAATCCTATTTTTAACCCTAACCCTATCTCTAACCCCACCCTGTCCCTAACCCCTAACCGTAAGCCTCTGCACGGCCCTCAGAAGGCATGAAATGAGTCTACGGAGTCACTCACGGCCCCAGTCCTGTTGGCCTGGAGCGGGGAGAGGGAGAGGCTGTGCTGAGGGACCGCCCTGTGGGGGCTGAGCCGCCGGCATCACCCCTCACAGGGGCAGGTGGGGGAGGTGCAGAGGGAAGGGGGCAGACGGTTACAGGGTCCATGTCATATCCTTGGAGCAGCCGGGACCCCCTGCCGCAGCCACGTCCGCTCCAGGGACAGGTGGGCCAATGAGCCCTCGGCCTCCCCACCCGTGGGGAGTGGGTGTCGGGCCAGCCCCACGGCCTCGTGGGCCTGTGCCCTGTCCAGGGCGGTGAGGAGCAGGGTCAGAACACCGGGGGCCCTGCAGCGCCCGGGGGGATCCTCCCTCCACGCACAGCACGGGCTCCCTCCTGGGACTGACGGGGCCCCGGCCCCCTGAGATGGATTCCCAAGAGCGGGAAGGGAGGGGGTGGTCCCTGGCCGTGGGCTAGGCTGGCTCCATCACAAAAGAGGGGGAGGGGCCCAGGACGTCCCCAGAATTCACTCGAAGGAGGGCCGTGGACGCAGGTCCAGAGACGCCCTGTCCTCCGGGCTTCCACGCTGTCTGGCTGAGCCGATGCGTGGGTAGAAGTCACCTCCTGAGTCTCTACAGGCCACTGGGGGCCTCGCCCGGCCCCACGCAGGCCCCACCTGCTCCAGGGGCGCTCAGGACCCAGGACTCTCCCCACCACACACCCCTGCAGGCACCGAGGATGTGCTCCGCGCCACCACCAGGGGGCAGCCGCGCACAGAGTTCCTTTCCTCGGCGGAGCCCGCAGATGGCCCAGGAGCTGGTGCCAGGATCTGGCCTTGCTGACTCACAGGCGCCTGGCACCCGGCGTGTGTGTGTGTGTGTGTGTGTGTGTGTGTGTGAGGGGGGTTGGGGGGGGGCAGTGGCCCCACACCCCATACCCCATACTCCTGGCTCCCTTCTGCGCTTAGATCTGTCCACCCCCTCCCAGCTCCTCCCGCTCCTTTCGTCCTCAGTCCTCCCAGCCTCTGCTGATCTCCGGAGTCTGACCCGCCCTCTCTCTCTGTGCCAGGCAGCAGTCCCCCTGCGGGCACTGGAGATGGCGCCCTCGAGGGAGCCCTGGGCGGCTGCTGGCCACACGGCCCTGCCTGCAGGTGGAGGGTGGGCAGTGCGGGCTCGCTCTGCCTGCCCCTCATGGCTAACTCTCACCACCAACCCTCACCTCTAACTCACCGCCAACCCTCACGGCCAATCCTCACCGCCACCCCTCACTGCCAACCCTCACAGCCAACCCTCACCTCTAACTCACCACCAATCCTCACCTCTCTCACCGCCAACCCTCACGGCCAACCCTCACGGCTCTTCCCAAACAGGAGCCGCCGGGAGACGGAGGCCGCCCGGGGAGGGGCACGGCACACTGGTCCCCGGCGACTCTCCCCGCTCGGTGCCGCCTTTCCTCCCCGAAGGCCGGCAGAGGGTCAGATCCCCCCTCTAGCCACGGGCGCAGGGCAGGCGGCTGAGGCCCTTGGAGGATGGACTGTCAGGACGACCAAGCTGAGTGAGCGTGGGCGAGTCCATCAGTGACCGCAGTGACCGTGGCCTCAGCTCTGTGGCCGCAGGGACGCTGGCCCTCTGAGTGGCCCGCGCTCCGTCCCCCTCCGGCCCCCGGGCCCCGCGCTCCGTCCCCCTCCGGCCTCCGGGCCCCGAGCTCCGTCCCCCTCCGGCCTCCGGGCCCCGAGCTCCGTCCCCCTCCGGGCCCCGCGCTCCGTCCCCCCTCCGGCCCCCGGGCCCCGCGCTCCGTCCCCCCTCCGGCCCCCGGGCCCCGCGCTCCGTCCCCCTCCGGGCCCCGCGCTCCGTTCCCCCTCCGGCCCCTGGGCCCCGTCCCCCCTCCGGGCCCCGCGCTCCGTCCCCCTCCGGGCCCCGCGCTCCGTTCCCCCTCCGGCCCCTGGGCCCCGCGCTCTGTCCCCCTCCGGGCCCCGCGCTCCGTCCACCCCTCCGGGCCCCGCGCTCCGTCCCCCTCCGGCCCCCGGGCCCCGTCCCCCCTCCAGGCCCCGCGCTCCGTCCCCCTCCGGGCCCCGCGCTCCGTCCCCCCTCCGGCCTCCGGGCCCCGCGCTCCGTCCCCCTCCCCCCTCTGGGCCCCGAGCTCCGTCCCCCCTGCGGCCCCCGGGCCCCGCGCTCCGTCCCCCCTCCGGCCCCCGGGCCCCGCGCTCCGTCCCCCCTCCGGCCCCCGGGCCCCGCGCTCCGTCCCCCCTCCGGCCCCCGGGCCCCGCGCTCCGTCCCCCCTCCGGCCCCCGGGCCCCGCGCTCCGTCCTCCCGCCCGCCTCCGGGGCCCTGGCTGCTGAGCAGGAGGACGGGAGCCAGAAGCTGGGGAGGTGGCGCTCCTGTCACCTCCATGGGTCGTTCAGCCACCGATGACCTTGGCTGTGTCCCTGACCCTCCCTGTGCCCTCGGCCACTCCGTGACAGGTCACGGCTGGAGCTAGTGTTTCAAGGTCGACAGACAATGAATTGCCTCTCTCCTGATTATTAAAGCCAGGCCGTGTGTGTGTGTGTGTGTGTGTGTGTGTGTGTGTGTGTGTGTGCAGGGCAGGCGGGGTGTGAGGGCTGGCTAACTCGCCCCGCTCTGAGCCAGTGAGGTGCGCACACAGTAGGTCTGCCTCTCCAGGGCGGACCCGAGGGCCGGCCCCAGGAACCGGAGGAGCAGCGTCATGACACACTGACTCCCGGTGACGGGACGGGGTGGGGGCCTGGGAGAGGGAGGGGCGTGGGTGAGCTGAGCGGCCGGCGCCCCCAGGGCGGGCGGACCGCCCTCTGGGGAAAGGCACGGAGTCCCGGGGCGTGGCTGGTCATGAGCCAGGCCCACACCGGGACACCAAGGTCAGAGTGACCCCGAGATCACAGGGGCCACGTACGCCCTGGGCCCCCCCGCCCCCCCGAGCTCCCCGCCTCTCCCTCGTGTGTGCAGCCGGGGCCACACAGGAGCAGCGGGCAGACGGGCTTGGGGCCCAGGAGCCCAGGTGGTGGGCGCAGTGCCGTGCGAGAGGGTTTGCTTTTCCGGGGGGAGGAGAGGGGTGGGGGCGGTAGCTCTCAGCGGGTTTGCCGAGGACTCTGGCCCCGGAGCACCCGCTCCAGGACTGGGGTCCACCCGGGACCCTGTGGCACCCGAGGCCTGGCTGCTGCCAGGAACCGGACGCAGCGGGGACGGGCTGTCCCTCTGAGGGCGGCCCTTTGAGGGTGATGTGTGTTACCTTTGTATCCTGTCCGGGCTGAGAGCAACTGTATTATGCCGTACTGGGAATGTCCGGCAGGTGGGCGTACAAGGGGTCCCGAGAGCTAGCTCTGCAGTGGCCAGTGCTGCCCGAGCCATGGCTGCCCGTGGCCAGTGCTGCCCGTGGCCAGTGCTGCCCGAGCCATGGCTGCCCGTGGCCATGGCTGCCCGTGGCCAGTGCTGCCCGTGGCCAGTGCTGCCCGGGCCATGGCTGCCCATGGCCAGTGCTGCCCGTGGCCATGGCTGCCCGTGGCCATGGCTATCCATGCGCACGCTGCCATGCCACTGGAGGAGGCTGAAAACCAGGGCACGTGGCTCTGGGCTCGTAGGCGGGGCATGCTGCGGAGCTTCCTTCCCTGTGGGAGAGGAGTGCTCCCCGCACCCTCAGCCCCTCCCCGCCTCTGGTCTGCGAGCGGAAGGAGGCGGGGGGCCGCGGCCGCCGGGAGGAGAAGCCACACTGTGTGGCCCGGTCCCGAGGCCAGGAGTGGGAGTCAGGGTCCTGGCCAGGCGTCCTCTGGGCCTGCAGGCCTCCTCCTCGCCTCCGGCGGCTCATGGTGGCGTCGCCGGGACCGGGCGGTGGCTGTGGCGCTCCGGCCTCTGCTCCCTGGGCACCCAGGGCTCCTGGGCGTCCGGGCCAGTCCCGCTCCTCCTGGAGGACATCAGCCCCGCGGCCCCTCTTCCTCGATGCCATCGCCGCGGCCGTTTCCCCGAAACCCCACCCGCAGGGCCCGGGGCTGGGACCACTCTGAGAGGACATGAGTCAGCCCCAGTGGGAGCACACCTTGAAACGCCCGTCCCCTCGGCCCTGAGCGGTGCCCCTCGCCCAACCCTCTCCTTTGCCCGCACCCTCCCCTCCCCTGGGCTCAGGGGGGCCCTCCCCTCCCTCCTGCGGTGATAACTAGCGCCTCCCTCTGGGCATGCGTTCTGAAGCGGGCTTATTTTATCCCTCGTCTTTGCCATATTCGTGGGAATATTGACTCTGCTGCTTGAACATAAACCAAAACCACCTTCAGGAAGATGGGAGCCGGCTTCCTTTTCCTGTCGAGTCTGAGCGGCGGGCGTCCGAGGACGGGAGAGCCTGCCCGCGGCACTGCCCGGAGACGCTGCCGTCTGTCCGCGAACACACCGTCCGTCCCAGAGCCACGCCGCCCACCCAGGCCCCGCCCCAGGAGGGGGCAAGGGGAGTGAGGGCAGGTCCTTCTCTTTTCAAGAACCTCTCCGAAATTCCCTCCTCGGCCCACTTCCACCGGCCAGGACGTCATCACAGGCCTGCTAGCTGCAAGGGAGTCTGGGAAGTGCGTGCAGATCTTATCCCCGGAGGCCAGGATCTCTGGGGACAGATCCTGGGGGGGGGGGGCAGCTGACAGTCTCTGAGAGAAGGGATGTGATTTTTATAGAAATAGTGCTACGAACCCACTGCTCACCCTCATAATAGAAAAAAAAAAAAAAAGTGTGTCCATACAGAGTATGAGAGAGAAATCGGGCCGTCCAGGGCGGGAGAAATGGGCCGTCCAGGGCGGGAGAAATCGGACTGTCCAGGGCGGGAGAAACCGGGCCGTCCAGGGCAGGAGAAACCGGACAGTCCAGGGCGGGAGAAACCGGACAGTCCAGGGCGGGAGAAACCGGACAGTCCAGGGCGGGAGAAATGGGCCGTCCAGGGCGGGAGAAACCGGGCCGTCCGGGAGGCCCCGCCCAGCGCCCCGGCCCCCGGCCCGTCAGGGCGAGGGCGCGGCCCGGGGCAGGTGGGCCTGGGGCCGCTCCACGGCCTGCGGGTTCCGGAGCACGCAGCAGGCCTGGAAGTTCTCCAGCATGCGGGCCTGCAGCAGTGCCTTGTCCTGCTCCTGCCAGGCGTCGGACTCGATGTACACGTTGAAGGGGTCGTGCGAGTGCTCCAGCTTCTTGGAGCGGATGTAGCTGAGCATGATGCCCAGCGTGAAGAAGCCGAAGAAGCCGAGCACCATGAGGATGTACAGCGCCTCCATCCCGCCGGTGCCGCCCGGCGCGCGGCGGGCGGGGCCGGACGCGTTGCCGCCCGCGTGGGCCGTCTCTCGCCATAGCCTGGCCAGGAGCGGGGTCACGGCCGTGGCGTTCGGCAGGCTCATCCTTTCACCGGGCCGCGGTGGAGAGCAGGACCCTGGGAGACTCTGCGGAGGAAAAGGCAACCTGAAGCCAAAATGTCCGCCTTGGCCACAACCCACACCCCACGCACACACAGGAGGCGACTTTTTCAACCTCAGGCGCTGCCCGGCCGGCGTGGCTCCGTGGCTGAGCGGTGACCTAGGAACCAGGAGGTCACGGTTCGATTCCCGGTCAGGGCACGCGCCCGGGCTGGGGGCTCGATCCCCAGTGGGCGGTGGTAGGAGGCAGCTGATCGATGATTCTCTCATCATTGATGTTTCTATCTCTCTCTCCTTCTCCCTTCCTCTCTGAAGTCCATAAAAAAAATAATTTAAAAAACCTCAGGTGCCTTCCCACACGCCTCGGTCCGTTCCATGTGCCGCCTCCTGTCCGCACAAGGGCCTCTCCCGATCGGTCAGTTGATAAATTGATTCCCTTTATTCCCATCGGCCAGTCCCCCCGCTGCCTCCAAGGCGCCACCAGAGCGAGGGCCTTGGCAGACACAGGGTCTGTGTGCCTGCGGCCCACAGGCTACCACCAAAGCGTGTTCCTCCCCGTTCACGGAGCCCTCACCCCCAGTGACTGTCCTGAGAGGGGGCGCTCGGGGTCCCTGAGGGTAGGGGGCCTCGGTGGGCCCCCTCACAGGACGAGAAAGAGCCTGCGAGGACGCCGTACGCAGGCGGCCTCCTGCAGCCACAGCGGCTCCGGCCAGACTCCGGCCCCCCGGGACCTTGACCTTGGACTCCCAGCCTCCGGACCGTGAGAAAGCGAACCTCTGTGTGGCCCCGCCCCGGTGTCTGGGCAGCAGCCGAGCAGATAACACGTATGTACACGGTGTCGGGTTCCGGGCCCCGGCCTTCCTTCTTCCCTGCCCTCAGCTCGTGGCCTCCACCCGGGCGTGTCTGTGTGCCCGCCTCCCTTCCCTCCCAGAGAGGCACGGCCCCCGTGGCCTGGCGGCTGCTCCTCCGTGCCCCCCCAGCCGACCACAGCCCGTGGCCTGGGAGGACTCACACTGCTGGTGCCGTGGCTCACACACCTGGCCAGGCCACGGGCTGTGGGCGACCGGGAGGCCACCCCCGGGGACCGCACTGCGGAAACACCACCTGGTCACCTGGCAGCCTCCCGCAGGGTCCTGTGGGGGTCACGTGGCCCTCCCTCCACGGCCAGTGCGCCAGCCCGGGGGGGGGGGTGTCTGCCCTCTCAGCCTCCCCCCCCCGGACTGCCAGGAGCCTCACAGAAGGTGACAGTCTCCCCTGAGCGCCCGCAGGGCACCCTGGGTATAGGTGTTTCCCGGAATCCTGACGGGGAACGCTTCTCGGAAACCCCCCCCTCCCCCCAGTGGCCTCACCGCCGTGGATACGGGGTCACGTGACGCTTTGTGCAATGAGCCTCAGAATGGCCTGGCACCAGCCTGGCATCGCCAGCGCAGTTTTAATGACCAGATCCAATCTGCCCGCCCGCGGGGCGGCTGCCATTCCCACGTTCCCTCCACCGCACGGCACGCTCGGGGCTGCCTGGGAGGCGTGGCTCGGTGAACCAGACAGCCACGGTCAGCCCCCCCATCACGGAGAACAGCTCTTCAGAGGGGAGCGGGCGCACCAAGGTCACGCCTCCTCTCCGAAAAGCACCTGAATGCACTCCGAGAGGCCAGAGGTGACGAAGCAGCCCGGAAAGGCCTCCTGCAGGCGGACACGGCTCACCAGGCCAGGAATTCTGTGGGCTGCCCGGCCGGCGTGGCTCAGGGGCTGAGCATCGACCTGTGAACCAGGAGGTCAGGGTTCAATTCCCAGTGAGGGCCCAGGCCCGGGCTGTGGGCTCCATCCCCAGTGGGCGGGATGCAGGAGGCAGCCGGTCAGTGATTCTCTCTCATCACTGATGTTTATTTCTCTCTCCCCCTCTGTGACATCAATACGGTATATTAAAAAACAAACAAAAAAACTTCACACTCCCACTCTCCAGCCGTTTCATCGTCACCAGGGCACCATGTCCGAATTCTGGAGGCACGTGGCCTCCGTGCAGAGAGGAGCCAGCAGGCCCGACCCTCCCGTGGTCGCTGGTTCCATCCGGTCTCCCCCGTGGCCTGGGAGCCGCGCATCCCGAGGGCGGTCGGGGGCTCAGGAATGAGGACACAGCCTGCTCAGGGCTCAGCGCCTGTCAGAGGACCAGGTGACGGGAGGGGTGGGGTGAGGGGCCCGGTCACACCACAGGAACAGGAGGTTCCCAGGCCCAGGGAGGGAGGCAGTGGTTAAGTGCATTCCCGGAACCTCAGCTTCCCTCTGAACGCGGGGTCTACCCTGACCACCCCCAGGGCTTTGTGGGGCGGACATGCCCCCCTTCGCCTCTGGCTGTGCCGGTCTCCGTGAAAAAGCGTGGCCACCAAGCTGCCTGTCAGCATCCTACCGGCTCTCGCCACTCCGGGGCGGCTGCCTGTGCCCCCATCCTGACGCCGACCCCTTCGACCCCCACAGCACCCTGTCCGCCAGCTCCTCTCCTGACGGGCCCCCAGGGCTCGGCGGGGTGAGACTTGCCCACCAGCCCCACGCCAGCACCAGACGAGCCAGGTGGGTTTGCCCACCCAAACGGAGGCAAAGTGCTAGATCACATGTGTCAAACACAAGGCCCGCGGGCCAAATCCGTCCCGCCAGGCCTTGCAATGTGGCCCGCACCGCGCTGTCATCACTGCACTCCGCTGCGTTTCCATCACAATGACAGTTTATGACTGTTCAGTAAACCATTCGGCCCGCGATTTAGGCTGGATTTTAGATTTTGGCCCCTTCTCTGATTGAGTTTGACACCCCTATGCTAGATCAAAGCAAGGCCGCGTGAGCAAATTACAGGGGAAGCCAGTGCACTCTGGGAAGAGATGGGGGACCGAATGAAAACCTCTACCCACATAGCAGGTTTTCACCTAATGAAACGAAACTACCTTATTGGTATTATTCACGTATTTTTAGCATCACATGGTTTGCGTATTAAAATGTGAGTGATTAATACCAGCCTACCTTTCCCGAAGCGCTGTGAGTCGGTGGTGACTGAATAATACTCCGATTTCCACTCACACCCCCCACCCCCCCAGCTCACCCCGTTAGACAGCAGCTCTCACCGCCACCTGCACTGCGTATCCTGTGTCTTCCCGAGACCGGAGCGTTGGGGGATCTCGGCCGCCGTTCCCTGTGGCAGCCCGGAGGCCAGAACAGATCTGGCCGTGGCAGGAGCGCCATGCACTACCAGGACACAGGCATGTGGGTGCGGATGCATGAACGAATTGTGTCCCATTCAACCCCCAGCACACCCGCACACACAGACTCCCGCACATGCAGACGCACATACACAGTCACACGTGCACACACACAGATGCCCACACAGATGCGCAGACACACACAGACGCCCACACACACAGACGCCTGCACATGCAGACACACACATGCAAACACACACATGCAGACACACACAGACACCCGCGCACGCAGTGCTCTCCCAGCTCCACCTGCAGGGCGGGGACAGGTGAGTCCGCGGAGGTCTGCAGCTTGCACTTGGGTTTGAGGACAGCCGGCTCACGCTCAGGACAGGCACACCTGAGGTTCCGGAAACTCCCAAAGCTGTGGGGACCCAGCTGGGACCCCTCTGAGCAGCAGGAAGCCTCAGGAGGGGGCTGTGCTGTGCGCAGAACCAGAGCGCAGGGCGGCCTCCGGCAGCTCTCACCGCGGGAATGGGAGCCGCTGTGCCGAGTCCCACAGGTGACCCTGACCCTGACCCTGACCCCAGCGCGCAGGGGCCCTCGTTCCGCCCTTCCTGACCCAGAGGCGGACCCCATTAGCTCAGTCACCCCGGAGCCTGGAAACCGCGGGGCGGGGGCGGGAGGGGGCTCCCGGCACGTGGCTGCCCCCCCCCCCCAACTTTCTCCAGAAGCGGCGTGTCCCCACCGCCGAGATGGAGACCCAGCGCCGTCCGGTCCCCGCCTTTCCCAGCCGTCCAGCCCGGCGCCGCCAGAGACACCGTCACCATCACAGCCAGAAAGGCCGGCGGCGCTGGGTCTGCACTGCAGGCGGGGTGGCGGGCTCCTTGCTGAGGGTGCTTTGGGGGAGTTTTCCAAGTTTCTGCGGGAGCATCTGTGATGAGCAGCGATGGCAGGCCGCCCTCACCCGGTGCCGGCTCTGTGCCTGTGCTCAGGAGACCGAGGAGCCTGCCTGGGGGGCGCCCGGGCTCAGAGCCGGTCCCCGGAGGCCCCTTCGGGCCGCCCGACTGGGCGCTGGATCCGGCGAGGAGTCTGGACTTACCGGTCCGGGCGCCGGGAGGCCGGTGTCTGTGCGGTGTCCTCCGTGCGGCTGGCCGGGCGCAAGGCCACAGCAGCCCGGACCGCGCTCCCTCCCGGCCCAGTGCGCGCGGGCGGGGCCTCCCAGCTGCGGGCCACCCCGCCCGGCCGCCCCGCCTCCCGCACCCTCCCCACCCCCTCCCCAGCCCCTCCCCGCACCCTCCCCCGCCTCCCGCGGAATCTGGACCCCAGGCCTCCAGCTGCCTCAGGTGCGCTGGGCAGGCACAGGTCCTGTTACACCTGCCAGCCCCCAGCCCTGCCCCGCAGGAGTTTGGGTGCCGGAGGGAACCTGCCCTGGGGACACGCACCCTGCAGACAGCTCCCCCTGAGGCGCCCAGGCCACTCCCGCCCCAGCTGACACCTCCGAGCGGCACCGTGCCCGCTGTGCCCGCGCCCGCTGTGCCCGCGCCCGCACCCCGTACCTGCGGGGCGTTAACGGGCCCTTCCGGGGGTCGGCCGGCCTGGGCTGCCACTGGGGCCCGGGCTGGCGGGGTCTCGCCGGAGTCAGTCCTGGAGCCGCCCAGGCCTGGCCCCCGCGCTCCCAACCACGCAGTGCGCCCCCCCCTTCCATCCCCCAACTCCCCCCACCTGAGCACAGTCCAGGCACCCGGGTGGCGGGCAGCAGAGGAAAGCTCGCCCTGAGCAGAGAGAAATGGCCCAGCCCGCATCTCCCAGCCCATCACTCCCCCCCTGGGGCTGGAGAGGGTCCCTCCCTCCCCCGGGGCTGGAGAGGGTCCCCCCCGGGGCTGGAGAGGGTCCCCCCCCCCGGGGCTGGAGAGGGTGTCCCCCGGGGCTGGAGAGGGTCCCCCCCGGGGCTGGAGAGGGTCCCCCCCGGGGCTGGAGAGGGTCCCCCCCGGGGCTGGAGAGGGTCCGGGGAGCTGCCCTTCTCAGACAGCCTGCCCAGCACTCCTGCGCCCTGGGTGCTGTGCTGTCCACAGGGCACACACCTGGGACGCGGGCTCCATCCCAGGAGGAGGTGTGCAGGAGGCAGCCGATCAGTGATTCTCTCTCATCACTGATGTTTCTCTCTCCCTCTCCCTCTTCCTCCCTTCATCTCTGAAGTCAATAAAAAATTTTTAAAGAAAAAAGACTGCCCACAGAAATAGTCACTTAAGCTGGCTCTGCCTGAGTCCTGGGCGCGGGCACTGACCCCTGGCACCCTCCGGTCCCCCAAGGCACACCGCAGCCGGCCCCGGGCCCCGGACTGTGCTTCCCAGCGGCCCTTGCACCTGACAAATAGCCACAACCTTCACCTTGTTATGCGAAGAGCACAAATCCGATTAAGAGACGTTTCCCAAGGAAATGCCAGCACCCCGCCACGTCCCCCGGCTCTGCCCGGCCTCGGCGGTGCTGAGGGGAACGTGGCGTTAATTACCGTCTGGAACGTGATCGGCGCCGAGACAGCCTGCCTGACGCTGGACTACACACATGGTCCTTTCGTGCGTGTTTTACCCCGGGGCCCGGGGCCCGGGGCCCGGACGGAGGCGGCCCCTCCCCCCGCTGCGGCTGCAGGCACGGAGGCGCCGGCGGGGGCTTCCTGGCGACCAGCTGCCGGCGGAGATTCCATCTCTCCGGCTCCCTGCACGGCGCTGGCCTTGGTGTGCTTCCAGCTTCCGGGAACACGGAGCACCTGTGGCCGGAGTCCCCGGAGGCCGGCCAGGCTGAGGCCAAGCCAGAGTGGCGGCTGGGAGCGGCTCAGGGCACTCTGGAAAGGTGGCTGCTGGTGGCCGTGGTCGTGGTTTCTGTGCCAGGCACGGCCCTCGCCCGGACGGACGGACGGACGTGGGGGCTGCAGGTCACCCGGGAGGAACCGGCGAGGAGGAAGGAAGCCAGGGGTGGCGCTGGGGTGACCCCAGGAGGGCGAGAGCACACCTGCCCCCGGGAGGGGGGGGGGCTTCAGAAACGCATGCACCCAGTGCCCTCTGCACCCATCGTGACTGTGGAATGACACCTGATCGCAGACTGAATCCTCTCCACGTGCTGCCCCATCCTGAGCTCAGACCCTTTCCTCAGAACTGTCCTCTGCCCGCCGGCGTGGCTCCGTGGGCGAGCACCCATCTTAGAACCAGGAGTCCCAGTTCAGCTCCTGGTCAGGGCACAGGCCCGGGCTGCCTGTGGGGCGGGCAGGAGGCAGCCGATCCGTGACTCTCTGTCGTCATTGATGCTTCTATTTCTCTCCTTCTCCTTTCCTCTCTGACATCAACAAGAATGTTTTTAAAAAGAATTTTTCTCCCTAAGTACATTTCTTCTTTGCTGGCTCGTCCGTCCAGTTCAGTATGTGCTGAGCTGCTGTGCTGCAGGCTGTGGGCACCCGTCATCGGCTCTGCCCCGCCCCCCCACCCCCTCTCTCACAGGCTGTGGGCACCCATCATCGGCTCTGCCCCGCCCCCCCACCCCCTCTCTCACAGGCTGTGGGCACCCATCATCGGCTCTGCCCCGCCCCCCCACCCCCTCTCTCACAGGCTGTGGGCACCCGTCATCGGCTCTGCCCAGCCCCCCCCCCCCTCTCACCGCAGGCTGTGGGCACCCGTCATCGGCTCTGCCCAGCCCCCCCCACCCCTCTCTCACCGCAGGCTGTGGGCACCCATCATCAGCTCTGCCCCGCCCCCCCCCTCTCACAGGCTGTGGGCACCCGTCATCGGCTCTGCCCAGCCCCCCCCACCCCTCTCTCACAGGCTGTGGGCACCCATCATCGGCTTTGCCCCAACCCCCCCCCCCCGCCCCGCGGAGTCGAGCTAAATGCCCACCCCCCCTCTCCCCGCCTGCCCCGTCCCCTGCCTCCAGCACAGGGAGCCTTTCTGGAGAAGTGCCCTCTCCCCGGTGGGGAGGGCTGTGCAGGTCCCAATGGCACAGGCGTTGACCTTGTCCTCGGCCCTCTCTCCCCAGGGCTCCGGGGCCACTCCTCCCTCCCACTGCCGGAGCCCCACCCGAGGCAGCGCACGGCTGCGTCTCCCGGAATCCGACTGGACTCCTGGGAATGGAGGCCCCCCCCCCCCCCAGTCTGTCCCGAGGGTCCACTCCCAGCTTCTTTTCTTTTTCTTTTCTTAAAACATTTTTAAAATTGATTTCAGAGAGGAAGGGAGGGGGGGAGAGTGAGAGAGAGAGAGAGAGAGAGACAGAGACAGAGAAACATCAATTATGAGAGAGGATCATGGACCGGCTGCCTCCTGCACGCCCCACCTGGGGATGGAGCCCGCAACCCGGGCCTGTGCCCCGACCGAGAGTTGAACCGTGACCTCCTGGTTCATAGGTCAACGCTCCACCACTGAGCCACGCCAGCCGGGCCGTAGATTACTTCTTGATCGGATAACTGGCTGCTCAGCTGTCTGGGACCTGGGCGCCCCTTTCTGGACGGCGTACAGCAGACGGGTAGGGGGGGGTGCGGGGGGTGACTGTGCCCCACAGAGCCTCGGTGACCGTTTGCGGAGTCATGCTGACTCAGCGGGGGTGTGCTGGGCCGGAGGCTGGCCGGAGGGGCAGGCGGAGGCATCGGGGTGAGCGGGCGGACATCACCAGAGCTGCGGGCTCTGCAGAAGCCCAGGGACCCGGGACCCCGGTGTCTGGGGGGCTTGTCGGAGCAAACGCCAGGCTGTCCCGGTTCTGACAGCCCAGCGGCCCGCAGACCAGCCGGGCAGACTCGGGGCCTGCACGGGCCAGGCCTGCCGATGGCCGTCCGTCCACCCACCTAGCCGAGGCCGTGGACTCTGGTTCCGTGGCTCCCTCGCCCCGGTGACAGGATGGAGGAGCCTGCTCCGGCTCCCTGCGCCGGTGGCGGACGTTAGAAACAGGCTCTGCGGCTCAGCTCAGCCTTATCCGTCCCCTGCCGAGGGCACGGCCGGCAGATAAGGTATAAAAATAGAAGGCGGGCCTGGCTCCCAGACAGAGCGGACCCACGGGGAGCCTCTGGCCACGCTCTGTGCACGCTGCAGGGAGGTGGGGGGACCCGGGGTGCAGCCTGGCAGACAGCCCGGAGCGTGAGGTCGGGGCGCGGGCGGGAGCCCGGGAATGGAACCCTGGCCTCCTGCGGCCTGAGGCGAAGGTCTTAGGAGCAGAGGATCTGGAACATGGAGCTGGGACCCGTCACCGGCCGAAACCAAGCCTCAGGGTAACCTGAGGGGGTGATGGAGCCACACACTGGCCTCTGGGGGCACAGGCATCCTCGTTCTCCGTGGGACAGACCCCCCAATACCACATCCAGCCCGGCCGGGTGGACCCCATGTGCAGGGGGAGCTGCCCATGCCGGTCAGGGGGCTGGCTGGTGAGGGCATGCTCCTCTGCTTCTGCCTGGTGCCTGGGGCCCCCGCAGGACTGCACTCCTGGCCCACGGACACAGAGCTCCCCACACGCTCCCCCTGTAGATGGTGGAGGCAGGGCCATGCTGGTCAGGAGCCTGGTCCTTCCATGTCGGTGCCTGTCCCAGGCCTGTGTGCACACCTGCCCGGGCCATGGGAACGGAGGAGAGACGGGTTCTCAGAACCTGCAGCCAGCATCTCCCTGAGGCCGGTTCTATGGGGTGGGAGGGGGATGGGGGAGACATCGCTGCTCAGACCAGCGGGATTAGCGCCCGGCATCTGGCCTGTGCCCAGCAAACAGCAGGTTTGAAGGATTCAGTTCAGGTCTTTTGCGTTGTACTTGGGGCAGGTAAATGGGAGCCATGCTGGGCTGTCAGAGCACATGGGGTGAGACTCAGCGTGACTGAGAACGGCTGGGGGTGCCCCATCTGGGCAGAAGCCAGAGCAGGAAGGGAACATGGGGACATGAAAGATGGAGGCACAGATCCACCCACTGCATGACTCCTCCTGCTCACAAACATCTAGGAGCTTTTTGTTGTTGTGAATCCTCACCCGAGGATATTTTCCCATTGACTTCTAGAGGAAGGGAAAGAGGGAGGGAGAGGGGGAGAAGAGGAGGGAGGGAGGGAGGCAAGGAGGGAGGAAGAGAAACATCCACGTGAGAGAGACGCAGTGATTGGTTGCCTCCCGCGTG